GGCTAAATTTGTACTAAACTAGGCCAAATTTGTGCCAAACCAGACTAAATTGGTGCTAAACTAGGCCAAATTGGTGTGAATTTTAATTGTCAAGTGAAATTTACTCAAATCATGATCAAACTTTCTTAATTCAAATCATCTTAACTTGGCTAGATTTTGTTTTTTTGCAACGTGCACCTTGGAAATTCAAATTGGTTGTTTATTTTTTGTTACAATGTCATAAAATTAAACAATGAAAACAAAGTTACTCATTGAAAACACACAGTATTACTTTCGCTTAATTTTATCTCCAGTTGTCTCCATTCTAAACATTTTTGGAAAACTCTGATAACTTCGGATTTTAAAGCGTCTATAACGCAGCTTCTCTTTCCCAAAAACCTTCCCAATGAACTCAAAATCTCCAAAATCTAGTTCGTAAATTTGTAAATTCCAGACGCCACCTCGGCCTTTTCTGTTTTGTTCCTTTCAAACATCACCATAAAGCTTTGGAGGTATACGGTCTGGTTATTTGGAAGGCAGTACTTTTACCTCTACCCGGGAAAGCGAACACAAAACATTTCAACACACTATTGAAGCACATTTTGGTAATTATAAGGTCACTCGAACTACCTTTAATGCTAACAGTTTCCCCTTTTTATCAAATAATACACAAAACATTGGTTATGGGTTCCATTGTACACGTTAAGTTATATTCCACAATGTTGAGCATAAAGAGCTTTTGCAAATTTGGGTGTTTTCAAAAAAGTTAAAGGTCCCACATTATTACGCCAAATCGACTCTTGTGAGGTTTAAGTCGTGTTATAATGTTGTTGTGTCGCCAAAAACAGACTTCGAGTTGTGTTTTGAGCAACTTTTTATGATTAATCCGTCATCGCCGAAGCTGAAAACGTTCTGTTCCAACTTGTGATGTCATGTAGCTTTAAGTTTTTTAACGTTTGTTCAGTACGAGTGAAGGATTTGGTCCAGATGTTTGAATAAAGACGTCCTTCACTGACCTTTATCACCCACAGACCTATAATGGGCGAATGCAGCTTATTGTAGACCTGGTTTAGACCTGGTTTAGACCTGGTTTAGACCTGGTTTAGTCCTGGGTCACAGTTGAATTAGTCTCAGTTTAGTCTTAAGTTTAGAATTCCACACAGGGCTATACACAGACAGATGTTTTTTGTTTTTTTTGTATGTTTGCCCTACAGAATGTGTTCCTTGCAAAACCAGGCTAAATTCATGCCAAACTAGGCCAAATTTGTGCCAAACCAGGGTAAATTTGTGCAAAACTAGGTCAAATTGGTGCCAAACCAGGCTAAATTTGTCCCTAAACTAGACAAAATTTGTGCCAAACAAGGCCAAATTCATGCCAAACTAGGCCAAATTTGTGCCAAACCAAGGTAAATTTGTGCCAATCTAGGCCAAATGTGTGCCATACAAGGCCAAATTCATGCCAAACTAGGCTAAATTTGTGCTAAACAAAGCCAAATTGGTGCCAAACCAGGCCAAATTCATGCTAAACTAGACCAGATTTGTGCTAAACAAGGCCAAATTGGTGCCAAACCAGGCCAAATTCATGCCAAATTGGTGCCAAACTAGGCAAAAGTACGGTAAATTAGGCCAAATTATTTCTAAACTAGACCAAATTTATGTCAAACCAGACCAAAGGATGCCAAATTTGTGCCAAATCCAGGCCAAGCAAGACCAAATTCATGTCAAACTAGTCCAAACCAGGTCTAAATCATGCTAAACCAGCCCAAATTCGTGCCAAATCCATGCCACTCCAGGCCAAAGCAGTGTAGGTCAAATGTAACAACAACATTATAACACGACAACAGATCAGAAAATACCGTAATATGGGCCCTTTAACATTTCAAAACCTCATCGTCATGACAACAATGCTATTTTTTATATATATTCGTCACTGCAAATGGGATCGGATGTCGCTTCGTTGCGTCATGCATGGCCACGGATGATTTTTAGATAGTAATAAAGCCTTTTTAAATGAAGCAAGTCACATTTTACATTCATTTTGTGCATTTTGTGACCACGTTTTTAAAGGTATTATTGGTATACTTTCGATTTTTCCTTTTTTAAATATTACTCATTCTATACCATGGCACACTAATGTAAAAAACTGTTATTTTTTTTAATTTTCTTACAATAGCAGTAAAGCTACGGCATCAACAATGTCATAATAACGGGCAAATAAAATAACATTAAATAACAACACATTTGAATATACATGGGGTTAAATAAAACATACAAATTTTTGACTTTTATATCATGTTCGTTAAAGGGGCATTGCGGAGCTTTTCTGGTGGATGGTCCGTCACCTGCTGGTCGTCATGGATATGTTAAAGTCTGACCTGGAAAGTTCCAAAGTATGGCATTAACGTGATTGATCTAGTGTTTATTTCATTGTGGGGGCGTTTTCAGGCATAAACAACTCAGGTTCATACTGTGAGCGAGGTCGCCTCTCCACAGATCTGAGCTGTAACTTGGCCTGGTCACCTGTTTTTTCCATGGAGATAGAGACATTTAATTAGTGGGAGAATGTGTGGAATGAAGTACAAAAGTAAAAGTACACTACTACAATTTTTAGGTATCTGTACTTTACTTAAGTCAGTTTTACAGCGGATTCTTCTTTACTTTTACTTCACTACATTTGCGAGCAGGTATGTGTACGTTCTACTTTACTACATTTTAGATCTGGACTGAAAAGTAAAAGTACTTTTCTTTATGATTTGAGACCTGTTGAAATTGCGAAAACGTATTTTTAGCACATTTAATTTGAGTTAAAGTCCCAACTTTGAGCAAACCAAACACATAAAAACAGCTACAAAAATTAAGAAATCAACTGAATCTCTTAAAATCTGGTGAATTCTATATCAAAATCATTACCGTATTTTTCGGACTATAAGTTGCACTTTTTTTCAAGGTTTGGGTGGTTCCTGCGACTTATACTCCAGTGTGACTTACATATTAAAATGTTCACACTGAAGTCGTGAGAGGCTCTAGTCTTGTGTGTCAGTATCTGCTGCTCCTGTTCCTCCTGTACCACTGTCACTTCACTCTACTGCGCATGTCTCCTGCAGAAAGAGCCTCTGTCCTGCTGCAAGTAGTGAAATATGGAGTGAGTGAGAAACTTGTGATGGACTGGCGAAAGCGGGGATGGAGAACACAGCTTCACGACAACCAGGAGAATGCACCATGACACTTTCCTGAAGTCACTGGATGGATGGACAAAACCTGGACTTCAGTGACACCGAAACCATCCTGTCGAGATTCAGAAAGTCCGGAATAATTCTGACTGGAACTGATGCTGAGTCTGATGACAGCTACACAGAAGAGGAAGCGGCGCTCAGTTTACCTCCGGAGGTTGCGGAGTTGCCCAGAAGTGACACAGAGGATGAAGAATTGAATGGATTTAGTGATTTGGAGTGAGATGGAGAGTTTGTTAAACTTGTTCTGTTCTGTTGTTTATGTTGTAGTTTATCTGAAGAACTGTTCATATGTGACGTTAACAGCCTGTTGTTCTCTAAAATTGTAATTACTATAACTTGACTTTCAAGATAAAATGTCGGTTCCTGGTTTCTGATTTTATAAAACAAATTTCCCCCAAAAAGTGCAACTTATATATGTTTTGTTCTTCTTCATTGCACATTTTTTGGCTGGTGCGACTTATACTCTGGAGTGACTTATAGTCCAAAAAATATGGTACATTTCAAGCTTCAATTGTTCTAAAAATCTCTGCAAAATACTTTTACGTTTTACTCTTAAAGTAGATTTATAAACAGGTACTCAATAGTTTTATTTCAGTAGATTTCTTCATGATACTTTCACTTTTACTTCAATACTTCTTCTATAACTTCATTCAATTCCACTCTTGTCAAAGCAATAACATTTCAGCAGACAAGCAAGTAACAGACCCTCTATTTGAAAAGTCCCGCAGTGCACCTTTAACAGTGAGGCAGATCTGCATGGGTGGTGTGGGAGTTGTGGTTTGAAAGCACTTGAAAAAACACATTAAAAGTTATTGCCTGACTGCTCTAGTGGAGGATTGCTTGTACTGCACTGTGCCTACTCAAACCTACTGAAATTCTTTGGTGGTCTGTGAGTAGAAGAAGTGTGACACAACGCTGCCCCCTACGTGCCGGTAGGAGAAACTGACAGCAGTGAGTGTAGCATGGCGGTGAACACCAAAAAATCCCTCAGAACATGTGTGGAATGTGTCAGTAGTTCTGTCTCGTTGAACTGAAGAGTTAAATGTAAAATAGTCCCTTATAGTTGTGTGCTTAGACCCCGACGAGTACATATATAAAGTCATGTAACCGGCGAGCAAAAATCACAAGCTTCTTTTCAAACGCCTTACAAAGCTCTACAGGCCCCGCTACCTTTAAGGGATGCACCGATTTAGCTGATACCGATTCCGATACTGTGGTTTTAAGCGTCTGCCGATACCGACCGATACCAGAGCAGAGACCGAAAACAGCATTTATGTACTTTCAACAAACTCAACAGAAGACAAAACTGATCCAAATGTGTTTTGAGCAGGTCCGGCGACAAAAAATTTGGGGGGCCAGGGTAAGCAGACTGACAAGGGCCCCCCTCTAATATAAATAAATAGGCAGAGGTTACAATTCTGGGCCCCAAACACCCTGGGATCCTGGACAACAGCCTGATTTGTACCCCATTTTTTGATATCAACCGATACCAGAGCAAGGACTGAAAACAGCATTTATTTCCTTTAACATAAACTGATCCAAATGTGTTATGAGCAGGCCCGTTGACAGAAATTGTAGGGGCCCGGGGCAAGACACTTCACATGGGCCCCTTCTAATATAAATTAATAGGAAGAGGGTAAAACTCTGGCCTCCTTTAAACAAATTTAACATAAACTGATTTAAATGTGTTATGAGAAAGTCTGTCGACAGAAATTGTGGGGACCCGGGGCTAGAAAACTCACACGCCCCCCCCCCCCCCCCCCCCTCTAATATTAATAAATAGGCAGAGGTTCTGGGCCCCTAAGACTCTGGGGCCCTGGGCAACAGTCCAATTTATCCACCCCGTCGACTCCTCTGCAATGAGACAAAACTAATCCAAATGTGTTATAAGCAGGCCTGTCGACAGAAATTGTGGGGACCCGGGGCAAGAGACTTTACATGGGCCCCCTCTAATATAAATGAATAGAAACCCTGGGGCCCTGGACAACAGCCCAATTTGTCCCCTCCTGTCGACTCCTCTGCTGATTTCACTCGATACCAGAGGAGAGATTAAAAACAGCATTTGTTTTCTTTAAACAAATTTAAAATAAGACAAAACTGATTCAAATGTGTTATGAGCAGGCCCGTTCACAGAAATTGTAGGGGCCCGGGGCAAGACACTTCACATGGGCCTCCAACTAATATTAATAAATAGGCAGAGGTTGCAATTCTGGGCCCCAAACACCCTGGAGCGCTGGACAGTTCGTCGACTTCTCTGCCGATATCAAACGATACCAGAGCAGAAATTGAAAACAGCATTTATTTCCTTTAACATTTTTTTTTACATAAACTGATCCAAATGTGTTATGAGCAGGCATGTCGACAGAAATTGTGGGGGCCCGGGGCAAGAAGATGCACATGGGCCCCCGAACTAATATTAATAAATAGGAAGACGCTCCAATTCTGGACCCCAAACACCCTGGGGTCCTGGACAACAGCCGAGTTTATCCCCCATTTTTGACTCATTTGTTACGAGCAGGCCCGTCGACAGAAATTGTGGGGGCCTGGGACAAGACACCTCACATGGGCCCCCTCTTAAATAAATGAATAGGAAAAGGGTAAAATTCTGGAAAACAGACCCCCCCTGATTATTAGCTGTGATTTATTTATACAACCACAGAACAACTTTGGATAAATAAAAGTCCAAACATTATGAGTTCTTCCAGGTGACTAAATTGTCCAACCAGGATATCGACTGAACCGATATTTATAATCCGATATCTGATCCAGCATTTTTTTTTCCAGTATCGTATCGGTGCATCGCCGTCTAACTTATCTGCAAACTTACTACTTCAGCCATTTCAACGTAGGTGCGCCCCTGGTTCCAAACGAAACGACAATTCACTGTACAACAATCCCCCAGGTTACACAACAGAAATGACACAAAATTAAAACAGGACACACACGAGAATTATTGCAACAATCTCTAAAATAAAACACAACATGTACTACAGCCATGTTCAAAATAATTCAAGATAATATTAAGTTAAAATAAGCAATAAGTAATATGGCGTAACATGAAAAAGGGTAAAGGGGAGTCACCAGCAGTTCTGATGTGCCTAAAATAAGTGTATCATTGGCTACGAGGGAATGAAATATAAAAGCAGCACACAAAGCCCTATTCTAAGACTTCAGGTAAATAGGCTGGCGTGGCTATGTCTGTGGTCTACCTGGTTCAGAAGACAAATGGACAGTTATGTTAAACCAGATGCCCTGCCAGGTGTAAGCTACGTGATCCCTTTTGTGTCCTGGAATTCTCTACGTAATATAAAAATTCGGCGATATTTATGTAAGAAGTGTGCATTTTTTTTAGGTTAAAGGTCCGATATTACGCAAAATTTATTCATGTGAGATGTTAGAATGAGGTTACCGCCTCAAAAACAAACCTGGAGTTGTGTTTTTTGAGCGTTTATTGAGCGTTAATAGTCTCCATAGCCCAAAACGCTCTGAAGTTCTAGTTTTCAGTAGAAGTTGGCAATTCCAAGGCTGGAATTAACCAAATTATTCTAGTCAAGGTGAGTTTAGCACTTCCTGTATTACAAAATTACATCAGTGCTTTCCGTTTGAGACAATAACTCACCCTAAATTTGCAGCGTTTTTGTGTTAAACATGTGAATGATCCAAAAAACTTGGTTCATTCGGCTGAAGTCCGGCTTTTCCTGAGGCTGTCGGTCTTTTAAACGTTGCACAATGACTTGTCTTGCCACAGGTTCGACTTTTGTCTGCTGGAACTGCTAAATGCTCTTGACGTACTTTTTAATATTGCTTATTTATTATCGTTTTTATCTCTCTTTATCACTTTTTTCGTTCTGTCATGTGTTTCTCTCGCTTGAATGACAAATGACATTTAAGAAACACATTAACACATTTTAACTTAGTGAGTTTTAGACCGGTAAGATCCTTCATGACTCAAATGTTTTTACACTCCATGATTCTGTCTCATATAGAGTGTTGCAGAAGCACTTGGTCACTTGGTGCTGGCACAAAACTCAAACCAGTCGAATCACTTAAAAAAAAAAAAAAAGCCTTAAAAATACTGGATAAGAAACTACTCTAATTTTGCCACTGGACTGTTTTAGATAAGTACAATTTGCTTCATTTTAATAATTTTGTTGATTATGAATATGGATGTTTTATATATAAAGTTTTGTATGGACTTGCCCCTCCTCCGTTACAGGATTTTATTAAAGTAAAAATGGCAGTGGGATGGGAACTAGGGCCACAGCTTGAGGGAAACTGTGAGGTCCCACACAGATGCACCACATTCGGACAAATTGCGTCTCAGTCAGAGGCACTAAGTTTTCTCCCTTTATCAATAAGAGACACTTTCAAATCTCACTTGAAACAGCGGCTGAAGGAAAACCAGACTTGTGGGCACTTAGTTTAGAACTGTCACTTGTTTTGCTGTTTTTTTCTGCTAAATTTGTTGCGTTACCTGCCGAGGGACTACAGATGGAAATGAACATTCTTGCTGTAATCTGGCATATTTACACCGCAGTGTTGTAGATGTTCATTAATATGCACTGTCCCTCGAACCTTGAACCTTCAAAACACAACTCCAGGTATGTTTTTGTGACGCGGAAACAACATTATACCATTATAGATCAGAAAACAGCGTAATCCGGAGCCTTTAAGGTAGGAGATTCTACCACCAACCTCAGTGTTTCTATCAACCTGCTCAGTGCCAACTTGCTACCATTTTAGTCACCATTTAAGATAGAGAAAACTCCGCTCCGACCTCCGCAGTCCCTACCCAAACTGACTCTCTCAACCGGTCCCTTCTCTCACAGTGCCTACGCGGTATCTTTCTCAAACAACCCTTGCGCCTGTCAGCCTTTTATTTTGATTGATGAGTTTTCGTTGCAGCCTGGCTATAGCTCGCGCAGCTACGCCACTTTCCGTCCGGCCTGTAGACTGTATATATAAATCGACTCTGGCTCCGATCGACTTTATATTAAAAAAACGTCACCTCGCTCTGAAACGGCAGCTGTGAAAATGGTCATTTTGGTCTTGAAATGTTTGGAATAACCCTCTCGATGTGATCCTTGGGTTTTTACTTCACTATTTTGTTCACAGCCTGCCTTCGATGAGCTTCATTTGACTGGAGCCGAACACTTTCTTCGTCCGATTCTTTATACAGCCTATGGTCCGACCCTTTCTTCTTGGACTAGCTCTCGTTGTAACCCCTACGCAATCTCTACAGTGTCTCCAACATTTGTTATTTCTGCACAAATTTCTTCTCTTTTTTTTGTTTTTTTGTAGGTTTTTTTTTTTTTTTTTACAATTCACGTGCCCCAGCTACAGTGCACAGTTACGTATTTACATCGACTTCATCTACGACTTTGGTAAGAACGCCGGGCGAGTTTTAAACATGCACACTTTCACTTTCACGTCGCGTCGGTTTGAGGACAGAAGAGGGACAGAAAAGGTCGAGCCTACACCTGGAAGAGAGCTACAAAAGCCCCCAGACACGTCAAAACCAAACCGAAAGGAATCACATCTCACTAAGTATAGCTGTGGTCTCGATTGGACGATGCCAACGAAGACGAGTAAACTGTATGGTAGTATCTGTAAGGCACTACGAGGAAAAATGGTCCAGACCTAACTGCTGATAGGAGTTCTATAGAGGAGGTTGGATACACGCATGGCTGACGTTAGCACACACAGACAATCACATTTTGTACATGCCTATGTTATTAGAACCACTTTGTGCGATCACATTGAAAAATCAGGGACAAATAAGTGTAATAAGTTGGTTCGAGATTAAAACAAACTCTGTGCAGACTGCTACATTCTAAAAACGGGGCCCAGCTAAGACACCTATAGGACTAAAACTCAAGAATTATAAAGGTGGAACATAATGATTTCATATGTATAAATACACTACAAAGTTCGTTGTCTTGGTTGGTTTCGTATTCCCAGAAGCCTCCTCAGATGGAGAAGGTGGTGCAGTGGAAGTTGGCTTTCTTCTGTTGCTCCTCCCCCACACCGTTTTTTGATTCGGGAATATTAAGACAGTTCAAGGCCATTGATATTTTTTTCTTTGTAGAGCAGCAGGTTTCCGTATTTCACCTTGTCCCCAAAATCACGTTAAAATTCCAAGCTTCCAGTAAGTAACCCCTGTTCAAAAGTCCCGAATTCAAGAGGGGAGGGAAAATAATAAAAGATGAACAAACCAGAAACGCTCCACTGTCCTCCAAAAAGGCCTGTTCTTTTTTTTTTTCCAGATTTCCCTGTTTAAAAATTTCCATTCTCATAAAGCAAAGGTGTGACAAAGCAAGAAACAATCACTGGCCCTTTCTAAAATCGCGAAAATGAAAACAAAAAACCAAAACAAAACAAGGTTACCCCTCTTAAATCCTTCTCCGTCTTTTCCTTCAGTAGAGGCTGTGAATCTTTTTGCTGTTTATCTTTGTAGTCATATCTTCAAGTTACCGTACAGTCTCTAGAGGATTTGCGTTTTCCTCCGTCTCTGTTCAAGTCTGAGGTGGAAACAGGGGTCCATGGCAGCACTCCGATCCAGATTTCCAGTGATTTCGCTCGTATACGCTGTGCTCCAAATCACACCGACTAAAGACATCATAATCAGACTGTAGTTACCAAATTTACCAGAAGCAATATTTCCACCAAACTGTACAATTCTCTCATGTTTGTGATTGTTCTGAAATTCAAAAAACACTTGCATAAGTAGTGGTTCATGTAAAAATGCTTTTGTTATCCATACAGGGGCGTAGCAAGAAATTCTTGGGCCTGGGTACAAAATATCTTGGGGGGCCCGTACGTCATAATTTCAATATGTATCCTGTATTTTAGAGTGATAGATCTGCTTCAAAATTTTTGTGTATTTTATTGTATTTTTTCCACAACTCTGGGCTTCAGCTTTCTCTTTCAAATCTATAAAAGAATGGAGCAGACTACCAACAGATTTAAAGCTATACAAAGACTTAAAAAATAAATATTAGAGATATTTTTTTTAACAAAGAAGTGCCAACATTAAGTGCAAGCAAGTGTTTAAAATAAAATGATAAAATTATATCTGATTAAGAGCGCAGAGGGAGTATAGTGAGAAGGGGATAGAGCTATTTAATGTCATTGTAGTTTTTAATTACTATTTGGATATAGATTGGATTGTTTTATGTTACTTGTGTCTTATGTTTTGTATGTAAGGACCACAGATGGAAATTAGATTTGAGAGTGACACAAAACATCTCTTCAATGTTTCTTTCTAATGGAATTTTGGAAGCTCGGGGCAAGGAGGCTCACGTGGGCCCCCCACTTATATTAATTAATAGGCAGAGGCTCCAATTCTCTGGCCCCTAAAACCCTGGGGACCAAAACTCCCCCTTTGTCTCTGTCGACTCCTCTGCTCCTATACATGGTTCTGGTAAAATAAAATAAACTCCTTCTGCACAAATACACTATTAAATACACTATTAAAATCACTACATTTGAAGCTTTATTAGATCTCAAAATTGGCACGAAATACTTGAAGTACAAAATGGAGTACTTCTTCCACCACTGTTGGATTTAAATAAAGGATTCCCATCTGACATTCTATTGTTTGGCGGAAATAAAGTAAGTGATTCAGCATCCAGCCTGTAGCTATATGTGACCTCAAAATCGTCTCGAAATACTTTAACTTTTCACTCTTCAAGTAAATTTTTAAACAAACTTTTACTTGAGTAGATTTTCCAAGTGATACTTTTGCTTTAACTTGAGTATTTTTTGACGTTGTACTGCTTGGTGGAAATAAAGTAACTGATTCAACCTCCAGCCTGTAGCCAGTGATTCATTTGGAGCACAGTTGCGTTGGTCTCTAGAGGTACGGGTACTGGTTGACCTTGGTGGGGCTCAGCGGGTATCCAGTGTAGACAGTGGAGGCGGGCGAGGCGCTGATGTAAGCCTGATGTGCAAACTGGGCCTGGTACTGGCTGTGGTGAAGCGTGGGCGAGGGCAGCACGCGGTGGTTCATGGACACGGGCACCTGGTGGACGATGCTGGGCGGGTAGGTGCCGTGCTGGTGAACGGCGTGCCTCCCGGACCCCTGCGACGCCACCAGATGGGCGACAGTCCCGGTGGAGCCCAGAGCCGTGGGGCCCGCGTAGGTGTACAGGTGAGGCTGGCTGGACAGGTGCGTGGCGGCCAGGTGCGGGTGGACGTTGGGCGCGTGGGAGGGGCTGTTGTGGTGGAATGAGTAGGGCGGCTGGGGGGCGATGGTGGGGGTGATGTACGCCTGTTGCCGACGGTGACCTCCGTTGCGCTCGGCGACCATGTGCTGCTGCGCCTGGACGAAGAACAGAAGATATAGTGTGAGATGTTTAAAAGGTCCATTAGGGCTGAACGATTTTAAGAAAAAATTAAATTGTGTTTTTTTCTGGCAGATATTGCGTTTTTGATTTCATCCATGTTTTTTTTTCATGAAATTTCAGTGCGCATGAACATTTGCAAACATCACAGAAACTTACATCATACCAGAGTCCTGAACCGACGAATTGATGCTGGACCGTTTGTACACATTTGTTTACGTTTTACAGAAATGAAACTTAAAATCACATGGGTAATTTGCATAAATTATAAGGGCTAAAAAACAGCTCGCTCCTTGTGCGCTGATACGGTTCAGCTTCTGTCGGACTAAAGGACACGACTCAGTGGAATACGAGTGTTCTTTCTCTGTGACCGAGGATGTGCTGCTGATGGTGAGTCTGTTCTGTGCTTCTATCGCGTTGAAGATGGTTCATGATAAACTTTACACAAACACCAGGTGCAAATCCTAACCTCCTAGCGTTGTGGTGGTGAATTACTTCGCGCCTCACAAACCTTGACACGACAACGGCGGCAGTGTGTGTTCGAGTCGACGCAGAACTATACTTCGCCCTTAAAACTGTGCTTTAGGAGCACTGCAAAAAAACGATCGTGATTTTCGGTCCAAAACGATTGCTCAGTCCAATGGTCCATATTACACTATTTTCTGATCTATGTTATGATGTTGTTTCCTCATCAAAAACAGACCTGGAGTTGTGTTTTGTTTCATTCACATGTTTAACACACAAACACACCTGCATATTTAGACTGAGCTCTTCTCTCAAAATAGAAAACACTATGTTCCACCTTGTGATGTCATGTGGTAATACAGGAAGTGCTCCAGTGTGTTTCGAAACTTGCCAAGATTAAAGGTTGTATGGAGGATTTTTTTTTTTTTAGTTTCAAATTGTCAATGAAAGTTTAAAATATCGTTACAGAGACGCAGCAGCCTTGTAATTATGATGACCAAAAAAAAAAAAAAAAAGAATGAAAATCTATCAACTGTGGACGTAGTGAGGCCAGATAAACATCAGCCAATAGAAAACAAGGCTACCTCATTTTCTATTGGCTGTTAGGTTGTCAATCAAACTCCCTAGTGTAACTGACTCGCCGGCGTGCTGGGGATTACGTGGTTTACGCAGCGGTTCTTAGAGGCTTTTTTCAAACTGTCGCTTCCTCGCATTTCGCACAAAGTTTGTCGCGACGGCGGACGAGAATCCACGACCGGTTCGCCGCCAAAGAAAGTCAGTTTTTGAGGTCGCTGAAAGAAGAAGAGAAGTGGAAAAGGAGCAAAGCCAAACTGAGGTGATTCTTGAAGATCTCTTCCAGCGATTGTGCGACGGAAGCAGACAAAGGGTCTAAAAACTGACGCATCGGTCGCTAAAATATTTCTAAACAGGTCACTTCAACAGTAATTCTGAACACGCACGGCTGTAAACATGCGTGATTTCTAGAGTAAGGAGGCGGGAGGAGATGTTTCTACTGAGGGAGGTGGTGTCGTGCATGCACAAGCACGATCGCTGTATTTCTCTTCCCTTAAAAAATCCTCTATACAACCTTTAAGTATCAACAAGTATAGATCAGATATACTTTAGTTGTTAGTGATCTGAATTTCAGTGGTGGAATGTAACAAAGTACAAGTAGTAAAGTGAATTTTTAGGTATTTGTAGTTTAATTTACATTTTGCTGTGGATACTTTTTACTTTTACTTCTCTACATCTGAGAGCAGTTGTCTGTACTTTCTACTCCACTACATTTTGGAACAGAACTCAAAAGTAGAAGTAGTTTTTATTATTGTTTGAGACCTGCTGAAAATGCTCTCTGAAAACACTCCACCTGCCACTTTGTGATGTCAAGTTAATACACTAAACTGACTAAAATCGTTTGGAAAATTTCAGTCCTGGAATTGCCGATCTCTACTGAACAAAAGTAAAAGGAGCTGTTAACTTGAAAACTACCGCTTTGTGCAATTACAAGGTAGAAAAGAGCATTTTGAGCTTTTTATTTTGAGCAATCCTTTAGTCTGTCTACATATCAAAAACTCAAAATGTTGTGGTCCACCTTGTGATGCCATGTAGTGGTAGTTTTCAAGTTTACAGCTAACTTTTACTTTTAAATCAGTAGAGTTTGACAAATACACGGCTGAAACAAAACACAACTCCAGGTCTGTTTGTGATGAGGAAAAAACATGATAAAATAAATCAGTAAATAGTGTAATATGGGCCCTTTGTTTACAGTATGATTGTCTATTCCTGAGATAAACAAGGTCAAAGTAAGGCCAGCCTTCATTCTGCACTGAATCTGTAATAATCATATAGTGTTTGGGCAGAGGGCTTGTCAGGACCAGCACTTGTATTTAGCATTTAAATGGCTTCTATTGTTATTCATGTATTCACTTATCTTTATTCAGATTAAGAGCGGGGCAGATAATATTGCAAATGATGATATCTTAGAGCTTACAATTACTCAGTGCAGAATTGTAGAGCTAACACCAAAACTACTTTTTTGCGCTGGCATTTTATTCTATTACGCTTTATTCAAACGGGCCGAGGTCGAATTCATGATCAAGGGCAACACAAAAATAAAGCAACAGATAAAAAACAAACGATTAGATGTTGCCAAAAAGAACTGAAATGGAAATATGTATTATTTAAAGGTCTTATATTACGCAAAATTGACTCTTTGTGAGCTTTAAGCCTTGTTATAATGTGGTTACCTCGTCAAAAACAGACCTGGAGTTGTGTTTTGTTTTGTTTCATTCGCACATGTTTGAGTTATTCTGCGTAATTAGGGCCTGTCCACATGACAACGTTTTTTGGTCGAAACTGTGAAGTTTGTATTAATTTTGGTCTTTTGTCCACATGGAGCCGGTGTTTTGGGTGTTCGAAAACTGTGTTTTTTTTGAGAACGGGTTCCAGAGAAATCTGAGAACGCGCGTTGTCGTGTGGACAAGCAAACCACAGCTTTTGGAAAACTGCAACTGCAAGACCGTTGCCAAAATGGGACAAGTGTAGCCTACGGAGCTGCTGCAACCGAGACACGCTGCTAACACTAATGCTAACAACATGCACCATGCAGATTACGCACATGAATCAATAACAAAGATTACGTAATTAAACTGTTGGATTTTGAGACCAAGTTATTCTAATAATTCTCATCCAAATCTTATGGCTCAAAACTAAAACTTATGTTTAAGTTTTGCAAAACAAAATGGCAATATTTCTGGAATACATCTAAAATCAAACATTATTAAATAGTATTATCAATGTTAACAGCGCCACATACAGGTGTGGCACATTTATTACATCGTTTTCACTCAGTGTTCCGTTGTCGTCTGTAAGTGAATATTTATTGAACAGACACGAGTGTGGATGCAAATTTTGTTCAGCCCATAAAAAAAAAAAAAATCCAGCAGTGTTGTCATGTGGATGTAGCCTTAGTCTGTTTATATGTTTATACCTCCAAAGCTCAAAATACTCCACCTCATGATGTCATTGTAGTGGTAGTTTTCAAGTTAACAGCAGCTACATTTTACCTTTAGTTTTGCAGTTCTAGGACTGGAATCATTCAACTGATTCTAGTGAAGGTTTAAATGGAGTTTAAAAACACCTTCTGTGTTTTTAAACTCCACACTTTTAATCCTGATTTATTAATCTATCTATATCTCCAAAGCTCAAAATGCTCTGATGTCACGAAGCGGTAGTTTTCAAGTTAATAGCTTTACCTTTACCTTTTTGTTCAGTAGAGATTGGCAATTCCAGGGCTGAAATTTTATAAACTATTTTAGTCAAGGTGTATTAAGGTTAAAAACACACTTCCTGTATTACCACATGACATCACAAAGTGGCAGGTGGAGTGTTTTCAGAGAGCATTTTCAGCAGGTCTCAAACAATAATAAAAAATACTTTTACTTTTGACTTCTGTTCAAAAATGTAAATTAAACTACAAATACCAAAAAAATTACTTACAGTACTTTACTACTTGTACTTTGTTACATTCCACCACTGAAAAACAACTAAAGTTTATCTGATCTGCACTTGTTGGCACTTAAACAGGAAATATGATTAAAGATGTAAACATTTAATCACACTTCCTTTATTACCACATGACATCACAAGGTGGAACATAGTGTTTTCTGTTTGAGAGAAAAGCTTAGTGTAAATAAGCAGGTGTGTTTGTGTGTTTAACGTGTGTGAATGAAACAAAACACAACTCCAGGTCTGTTTTTGATGAGGAAACAACATTAGAACATGGATCAAACTCTTACTAACATTTCCAATTTTTTACATTCTTGGCCAGCATTACATTATTAATCACAGACTTTGGACAGACTTATTACTTTTTAGGTAATTTCCCTTGTGAATCAATAAAGTCTAAGTCTAAGTTATTGGCAGCTACAGACAGAATAGTAATAGTAATAGTTTTGAAAGCTTTTGCCATGCCCTCCTTTTTAGTCATTTAATCAATCAAACAGACATGCCCTCCAAGAATTTCAACCAAAAGTCAATAACAGCCTTAGTTTGTTTCCATAAAAACTCCTGAAACAGAGGTCTTGGTCAGAGTGAAATGTACCTGGCTGAGGTTGAGCGGCTGCTGCTGGAGTGGGTGTGGCCCTGTGCGTTGCTGACGATAGGCTCCGCCCCCTGGGACTCCTCCTTGTACGTGATTACTGCCAGGAACAACGCCGTTGGACGTTTTATATTTGTACGATGAATTCTGATGGTTCATAGGTTCTGTGGAGGAAAACAAACACAGTCTCTTAACATGAATATTAAAGGTGACATTATAACTATAACTAAAATATATTATAGTCACAAGGTTGCTAGCATTGGACAACAGTTATTTATAAGACCTAATAAAGATGGTAGATGCATAATTAAAAATGCATAATCTCACTAATGATTTTTTGGACATGTGTGTATTGTCTATAATAATACAAAAATAAGATATGGCAAAAAAGGCAAAAAGAACTTAGTTTCTGTGTGTTTTAAATGGTATAAATTGATACTGCGTCACAATTTGAACATTTTAGGAACATTTTAGAGCAGATAAGTCAGACTCAGGGATGTAATTATATTTTGCCTGTGGGATCATATCAAATATGTGCTAGAGCTGAGCTACCAGCTACAGATAGACTATAGAGACATTTGTTCTGGATTCAGTGTTTAAACAAAACTATTATTAAACATTTCAATAAGAAAAGGTTTAACATTACATATCTCGAAAGAAGAGAAAACATGCAATTGTTGTTGATATTTTTCAATAAATATGTAGTTTGGCCCACGACTTTGTCCCAGTTTTAAATTTTGGCCTCTGTGAATTTGAGCTTGACACCCCTGGTATGAAGTGATATTGTGTCACTTTTGTGGTTCTTTTTACTATCTACAATTTGAGCAATACACAAAATATTTTAGGAACATTTTAGGAACATTTTTGAGGATCATAACAACATTTTGCTGAAACTCAGCATCGCAACGTGATATCACAACATTCTAGAGGCCAAAATTAAGTTTTTTTTGTTGAACTCTTGGGTCTAGTCAATAATAGAAATGATCAGGTTCCACATTTGAGAATTTAGACATTGGATATTTCATGGCAAAGTACAATGTAATCAACAGGGAAAACTGTCTCTTGGAATATGACATCATCATAATCTAGAAACAAATGGAGCTCAACAGTGACCGCCTGCTCTGATTCCGGAAGTAAATTTTCCCATTCATTTTTCCCATAAACTTTTTAAACACTTTAAATATTAATAGTTCAAAAACATCATGGAGGCTTAGCAAATCCATGTATCATTCTTCATTCATTTGTTTTTCAAACTTAAGCCAAAAATAAGAAAATGAAAAAGCAACAATTTTCTTCATTATTTATTTCCAAAACCAAAATGAAAAAACAGATAATGATTAGGTTTTTATAGTTTTTGATTTTGTGTTTAAATGAATAATGGAGAAAACGGATGACGGCCGTTTCCCCGTTTCCGTGACTAAAACTGCGATGCCTGGATCAGTCCTGGTTCAGTCCTGGTTTAGTCCTGGTTCAGTTCATATGCGGCGCAAAAGTCTGACATCTCGATCGGGCAGCTCAGTAAATAAATAAATAAAGCCTGTGAACCGATGATGTATTTTCGTATTCGTACTGAAGAAATCGTAATCGTAATCGTAAATTTTCATTTTGTGATTGTAATTCTTGATCGTAACTTTTCCATTCGTATTCTGATGGATAAAATACACACAGTACACATATACAGAACCGGAATGGCTGAGCTCCATACCCAAAATAATCAAGATATACATTTTGAAATAACTTGTGCTTTCTTACCTGGCATGAGACGTTCACAGTCGTTGGTGGAGGCCTCGTTGCTCTGGGCCTTGAGGGGGGGTATGATGATGGTGCGGGGGTTTCCGTTGTTGTAGTTGTCCAGGAGGGTGTTCTTGGAGTCGTACGTGTGGCTGTTGTGGCTGTTGTGGCTGTTGTGGTTGGTGTGATTGGTGTGGTTGGTGTGATTGGTGTGGTTGGTGTGGTTGGTGTGGTTGGTGTGGTTGGTGTGGTTGGTGTGGTTGGTGTGGTTGTTGTTGCTGTTGGCGATGTACGGGCTGTTGTGGCTGGAGCAGTCGGACTCGGGGGAATCGTGGACCGTCACGCAGCTAATCACGTTCTTTCTGTGTTTTGAAGAAGAGCTGTGAGAAGAAAAAAGAAAAGAGGAAGAGATTTAGAACATACGAGGGGTGCTGTACGTGTGTCTCTAATGTTGGAATGCTTAGGAGTTACTACGGTGAAAAAGTTTTAAGATTGTCTGAAAACTCTAAACGCAAAATGGATTTAAACAGCACATTTTCAGGAGCCTCTTGTACATTATTGTGGCCCATCAAAGCATGGAAAAAAATTAAGTTTCAGATAACCTTGATTAAAATCCTGCATTAGGTTTTAGCCTCCAAAAAATGATTTACGAAGAAATTTGGAAGAAAAAGGAGATGTTTTAGAGGTTACTCAAGCTCCATAAAGTTTCCTGGAAATTGACTCATTTTGTGTTTTCAAGTAACTTTTTATGGACTTAATGGACTTTCTAAGCAACGTTTATGGACTTTCTAAGTAATTTTTATGCAAGTTTCACTTAGTGTTTGTAGAATAAAATGACAAATTATTTAAATACGCCTTATTTATTTGGTTCTCTATGTCAGTGTTTCTGAAACTTTTTTCTGGGGACCCATATTTAAAATATAAATGTCAAGAGACATTATTCATAAACCACAAAATAAAGGTGGATTTGACCATTATCGAACATTAATGAGGATATTTTATTGTTGACTGAGTGATCGTGTCTCTGAACAATTAGTATTATTCAAGTTTTAAACAATGAAAAACAGTAAGTCGTCTATTTATGACATTAAATGTAGCCCTGCACATTACAGACGTACATGCAGATCGTGACAAGGCGACCCAAAAAAATCTCTTGTGACACACCTGAAGGTCGCGACCCAGTCTTTGGGAAACACTGCTCTTTGTTATAGTATAGGGCAACTTTGAAGTGTTTTGAGCAACCTTTAAATATATAAATTAATTTGCATACAATTTTGACTCAAATATTGTGGTCAGATATGGAACAATTGCAAGGTTCTAATTGAGAGAATCTAAAAAAACATATATATACATTTCTATATTTATGCCTTATTCGACACCAGTCTCTTGTTATTTTTGCTACTTATTATGATCATTTATATTGTTGCTCTTTGTATTATATTTATATTTTATTATAATGTGTGAGCTAATGTGTCCAGATAATTCCCCTTGTGGATCCCTTGTGGCTCCAGACTTTGGAACAAACTGTCCCCCGATATGCAGACTCTTTAATAAGTCCAGGCTTAAAACGTACCTATTCAGATGTTTTTTAACACACAGTAATGCACACACTGGTTTTATTTTATTGTTTAAAGTGCCCATCTCATACAAAATAACTCTTTTCACATTGTATCTTCTGCACATATACAAGCACAATTTGGGTTTTGGAACATCCAGACACAATAGTTATGAAATCTTACTGATTTCTTGGAAGCGTCACAAACCAGGAACTGTGAAAGGCCGACTATTGCTCCTCCCCCCGCCCGTCCTGAGAAAGCACAGGCTCCGCCCTCCAAACATGATGTAGGCTCTGAGTGAGCCGCCCTTCCTCCGCCATCTCAGGGAGGGAGGGGGAGACAGGCGTGACCCTGATAGTGGCAGGAATAAACTTTTATTCATCATGGTGACACAGCGCATTCAGCCGCATGTGTTGGACCCGGAATCGGACGAGGACTTTGAGGAGCACAAAGCTCAAGCACCGCGTCCTCATCAGCTGAACATGATTGGTAAAGTATTAATAAACACTAGTAGATAAACTTGTTATATCGTGTACAACAATTAACTTATGCTGTCGCTTTTGTTTAGGTGTTCATGTGGGAACTGTCAACCGAAGTGGGGAGGAGGCAGTGGAGCGGGGAGGGGGACGGGTGCGAAGTGCTTTCTGCTACATCAAACGCGTCATAGGTGTAGCTGCCGCTTCATTGTTGTAGCAGCTTTAGTTCGTTGTCACGAGTGGCAGAAATACACTGTAATGTGTAAAAAAAAAACCTCTGAATCAATCTAAAAACACTTCGGCGACCAATACAAGGCCCGCACATCACTCTTAGAAGGTAGAAAGCTCTGAAAAGTTGATTTTGCATGAGATGGGCCATTTAAAGGTTGTATAGAGGATTTTTTTAAGGGAAGCGAACTACAGCGATAATCCTTGCGCAGGAGTGACACCACCTTCCTCCTCCACAGCTCCCTCCATAGAAACATCTCCTCCCACCTCCTTACTCTAGAAGTCAAGTTTGTTTACAGCCAGTGCGCATTCAGAATTACTGTTGAAGTGACCTGTCTAGAAGTAATTTAGCGACCGACACATCAGTTTTTAGACCCTTTGTCTGCTTCAGTCATGCAATCGCTGAAAGGAATCTCAAAGAATCACCTCAGTTTGGCTTTGCTCCTTTTCCTCCTTCTCTTCTTCTTTCAGCGACCTCAAAAACTGACTTTCTTTTGCGGCAAACTGGTCGGGGATCCCCGTCGGCCATCTCAACAAACTTTGTGCGAAATGCGAGGAAGCGACAGTTTGAAACGTAATTCCCGCACACTGGCAAGTCAGTTACACTAGGGAGTTTGACTGACAACCTAACAGCCAATAGAAAATGAGGGAGCCTAGTTTTCTATTGGCTGATGTTTATCTGGCCTCACTACGTCCACAGTTGATAGATTTTCATTCTTTTTTTTTTTTTTGGTCATAATAATTACAAGGCTGCTGCGTCTCTGTAATGGTATTTTAAACTTTCATTGACAATTTGAAACTTAAAAAAAAATCCTCCATACAACCTTTAATCTTTTGTATGTTTTTATCTTGTATTGATATTAATGTGAAGCACTTTGGTCATCTTGCGTGTTGTAAAGGGCTCTATAAATTACATTTGATTGAAAAAAAAAAATAAAGTCCCGTTGCCCGTTACCTGTTGTTCTGCTTGTGCTCGTCCTCTTCATCCGTATCGCTGCTGATGGTGATGATGCTGACCGCAGGGCTGGGTGTGTCCGGGATGACGATGGTCTGTCTGGTGGTGCTGGAGGCCTGCTCTGGCTGACTCTGACCCCAGCCCCCGCCTCCTCCCTGGGGCACGGGGCAGGCGGAGGTGGGCCCGTTCTGCACCACGGCGCATCGAGGGGGCGTGTTCTCCTTCACTCTCTTCGAACGCTGAGGCGAGAGCACGGCCTGGGACGATGACACCTCGTACGACGACATGTTTCTATCGGGAGAGGAAGTTAAGAGTTAAAAGTCTAAAAAATAACAGTACTGGTGGGTTTACGTCATCAAAAACATACCTGGAGTTGTGTTTTGTTGTGTTGATAACATTTTATTTTTAGTCTGTCTACATCAGTGTTTCCTAAACTTTTTTTGTGGGGACCTATATTTTAAAAGTCACAAACCTTAGCGTCTCAAGTCAATAGACATTATTCGTAAATCATGAGGAACTAATGAGGATATTTTATTGTTGACTGAGTGATCGTGTCTCTCTGAACAATTAGTATTACTCAAGTTTTAAACAATGAAATACAGTAATGAACCAGCAATAAAATGATTCATAAGTCGCCTATTTGGACGTTAAATTTAGCCCATTTCTTTTTCTTTTCAACATTCAATTGAACCAGCAATATTGGAACAAAATATTCACGAGCTCTCTCATGTCAGAACTAGGGGTGTATCGATATCCAAGTCTCACAATACGATATCATCACGGTATGAACCTCACGATACGATATTTATTAAAGCTCATGATATGGCGGGGAGACTCACGATTAGAAAAGTAACAATATCCAAATCTTTCGGTACGATATTTTCATGATATACATCTCACGGTACGATATTTATTGCGATATTTTGTACGATATTCTACTAATTTGCTACTTTTTCTTCTTAAAATGCCTTGACAAGATTTAATCCAAATAACTAAAACTTAAAAGTATTAAGAATTGTTATTTCTTCTTGTAGTCTGCACTGAAATGGAGCAAAGGATCATGGTCTATGTAGTTCCCTCTGTCTTTTTTTAGCTACTGCTGCACCATAACTCTTAATTTAAGCAAAGAGACTTGTAATTCGATATATTGTGATGATCCATGATGTTATTGTGAGAACTTTGACGATACGATATCACGATATTTTAGTTATTGTTACATCCGTAGTCAGAACTGTATATTGCAGATTGCGACAAGATGACCCCAAATAAATGTCTTGCGATCCACCTGAGGGACAGTGGTCTACATCATCAAAGCTAGAAATGCTCTGTCCACCTTCTGATGTCACGAAGCAGTAGTTTAAGTTAACAATTTTTTACCTTTAGTTGAGTAAAGATGGACAATACCAGGGCTGAAATTATCCAAATGATTCTAGTGAAGGTGAATGATGTGGAGCACTTCCTGTATTACCACATGACATCACAAGGTGGAACAAAAGTGATTTATGTTTGAGAGGAGAACTCATCTTAAATAAGCAGGATTTGTGTGAATGAAACAAAATAAAACTCCAGAGATGTTTGTGATGAGAAAATAATATTATAACCAGTGTTGGGGAGTAACAGATTACATGGACTAGAGTTACGTAATCAGAGTACAAATTATTATACTGTTTCCATGAGTAGTAATTGGATTACAGTTACTTTGTTGAAATAAATGGATTATATGGTGGTATTTTCCTGTTTTCACATTTTGGGCTAAATCAGGACTAAACCAGGTCTACAAGCAGGACTAAACCAGGTCTAAAAGCAGGACTAAAGACAGACTAAACCAGGACTAAACTAGGACTAAAACCAGGTCTAAACCAGGACTAAACCAGGTCTAAACCAGGACTAAACCAGGTCTAAAAGCAGGACTAAACCAGGACTAAAGCATTACTAAACCAGGACTAAACTAGGACTAAAACCAGGTCTAAACCAGGACTAAACCAGGTCTAAACCAGGACTAAACCAGGTCTAAAAGCAGGACTAAAGCCAGACTAAACCAGGACTAAACTAGGACTAAAACCAGGTCTAAACCAGGACTAAAACCAGGTCTAAACCAGGACTAAACCAGGTCTAAAAGCAGGACTAAACCAGGACTAAAGCATTACTAAACCTGGACTAAACTAGGACTATACTAGGCTTTTTATTTTCTTTTAGCAGATAAAACATCTTATGTTAAGATTTCGTCGTCTTTGCTGCTCTACAGTAAACAAAAGTCTGTTCATGGAGACTTGGGCTCGACAGCCAATTTGAAAAGAACAAACAAGAATTTTCAGGATGTGGTTGTTACATTCATGTCGTTTTAAAAAGCATGACAATATCAAGTAATCCAAAGTATTCAGATTACGTTACTCACTTGCAAACTACATGTAATCAGTAATCTGTAGGGAAATACAATTTAAAAGTAACCTCCCCAACACTGATTATAACATAGATCAGAAAAGAGCGTAATATACTTGTGTGCCCTTTAATTGAATCCCTAATCCAAGTTTGTAAAAACTAGCCCCAGATTTGTTTGGTTGAGTAATGAGCTGTGACAGACAGTTGTGGAGCATCTGTCCCTGCAGAGACAGACCTGCAGCTCGGAGCTCAGAGGAGGCCGTACCTGGTGGACATCTGGTGCTGCTTGTTCTTTTTGGAGGAGGAGCTGTTGGACGAGGGCTGCCTCATCACATGAGCGACCCCCACATTAAGCGCCTGGTTGGACGGGAGCGTGACATGACCAGCCAACAAGGCCGGCTGTTGCATGATGGGATTGTAATGGCTGCCGTGGGGATGCGAATTCCTGTGAAACATAATTTATCAATCAGACTTCATTCAATCAGGGTTCGATTTCATTTGTTTCATAATGTATCAGAAGTGGATTAAATGAATTCATGTATGCAATTAAACACGGACCGAGCTAAGTGCAGTCTGACAGTTCATTTGTCTGGAAATCGTGGTTCCACATGTTATTATTGAAATGAGGCGGATAGAAACCTGAGGGAATACAGCCACAGATGCAGCGTCCATTAGCATTGTTTTTTTCCCAAAACTGTACCAGCAGGTGGCAGCAGCTAACTTCCTAACAAACACGAAGGGGGCCAAGGAACAGATGAGTGGAGGAGTGCGAGCAGAGAGGGAGGGAGGGCAAAGAGGGAGATGGAGGGAGGGCAGAGAGAGAGAGAGAGAGAGACGGGGGGGGGGGAGAGGAGCTGACACCAGCAGCTGGAGCCATCGCTCTGCAGAGGAAGTGCGACACTTTCCAATGGTCTCCCAGGACTCCCGAGCTGCCACTGGACAGAGATAGAGAAAGGGGAGAGATGGAATGATGAAGAGAGGATAAAGATGGAGCGAGAGGAGAGAGGGGGTGGAGGGAGGAGAGAGGTGGAGAAAGAGGAGAGAAGGGGTGTGAGGGGGATAGACGAGGGGAGAGGGGAGAGATGGAGAAATGGAGAGAGGGGAGAGATGGAGAGAGGGGTAGAGGGGAAGAGAGATGGAGAAAGAGGAGAGAAGGGGTGCGAGGAAGAGAGAGACAGAGGAAGGGGAGAGAGGGGGATAGACGAGGGGAGAGGGGAGAGATGGAGAGAGGGGTAGAGGGGAAGAGAGGTGGAGAAAGAGGAGAGAAGAGCTAAGAGGGAGCAAGAAGAGGGACTGTAGACAGGGGCGTGAGACTGTGGGGGGTAAAGGGCACAGTTTACCAAGGCCCAACACAAGCAGAGCCCCTCACAAAGTCTTCTAATTTGCATTATCATACGACAACATGTAGTGGGCACCCACCAAGATGATTTGTACCTAAGGCCCAGAGTTTGGAGCCACACCCCTGGCTGTGGGACTCGTCTGTCTGGGTCACAGATGAACTCTTCTGGAGGAGTTTGAGTTTGAGTGTGCGTGGCTCTGGCTCCAAACACACTTTGAAAACCTGGTGGTTTCTTATCTCCTACAGACTGCCTCTGCCCCATCCATCTCTCCATTTATCGAGTCGTTCTGGTGACAGGCTGTAGTTGGAATGACGTGTGTACATGCACATATACGCCGTCCCCGAGGAGGAGCTGCTCGTGTGAAAGCTGCTGTTCATGTGCGGGCAGTGTTTCAAAAAGCACTCAGTCTTTATGGACAATAATGCTGGGCCAGACCAGAATATTTCTCTATATTTTGCTGTACAGAGGGAACAGTCTGGTCACCGCTCCCTTCCAGTGTTGTAAGTAACGCGTTATAAAAGTAAAGAATTACTGTAATGCACTGCTTTTTCCTGTAACACAGTAATGTGGCAATTACAGTGGGAAAAAAAATTTGAATATTTTACTCGGTACAAATTACAATGCATGTTTAACCTGGATTGAAGTGGTGGGTTTTTGTTTTTCTTCATAAAAATTCACTAAAATCACAGCGATATGAGCAGCAGAGAAACGCCATCGTTATGGTTACAAGCGTCTGGACGAGCCTGGAGGTGCGCCCGCGTAGACCGTCGAGTGACTGCAGGTGAAAGGACCGACGCAGAACTCCATGCCCCACTCAGCGAATCACAGGTGACGCCCGATAGAGCTTTGAGACACCCTGCTCCACAGGCTCGGGGTTCTCTCAGGGGCGAAACTAGATTCCAAGTCCTGGTCCAAGATTAGTCCTGGTTTAGTCTTGGCTCAGTCCTCGGTTCAGTCCTGGTTTCGTTCCATACACGGCGCAAAAGTTCAGCATCTTCACTCAGTTATTTTGGTGGGACTAACTTAAAGTCCTGCAATAGTTGTGTAATATTTCACATTTTAAACACAGTAATATTGTAATGTGATGAATCACTTTGAAATGACAGTAACAAGTCATAAATAACACATTACAGTTTTGAAGTAACCAAAACCCAGTCTCCAGACTCACATCTTCTTAAAAAAACAAAACAAAACAGTGGCACAGTGGCTAGTACTCACAATTCACACCAAAAAGGTTCTGGGTTCTCTATGTGGAGTTTGCATGTTCTCCCTGTATACCCCTGGGTTTTTCGGTTTCCCCCACCAACGTAAAACATACACCATAGTCCAAATCCTGCAGCTAAGGTCCAGACCAAGTCTAGCACAACATCACAGAGACGGATCCCCGGGCGCAGGACCACGTGCCCACTGTTACTGAGGAGACGTCCCAGAGGCATTGCAGGAAGGATAAATTTCCCTACGGGGACAGTATAGTGCACCCTTTACCCTTTAATCTTAGATGTGTGTATTCTGGAGTCGAGGCAAAGACCAATATGCTTTACACCGCTGCCACATTTACCTCTACAACAGGAAGCCCCTCCTGAAAGCGCCATGCTGCAGTGTGCGCTTAAAACGCAATAATTACTCGAGTTGGTTTAATCCGTGCGTGAAGAGAATCTGAACGCTGAGAGTTTAACGGCCGTTCTCTCTCACAGCTCTTACCTCCAGTTGGCGAGGGGCTGCGTGGTGCCCATGGTCTCCGGGATGACGGTGGCGTGCTGGACCGAGGTGTGGGTGAGCTGCTGCCAGGCTGGAGGCAGGAGGATCTGCTGTGTGCCGCTGGGCCAGGCCTGCTGTGGAAAAATAAGAAAAGACCAAAATTTAATTAGCCTGTGATGTGAAGCCTGACAGTGCAAACAGTACCTGAGCCCGGTCTGCTTTAAAGGCAGAAAATGCGTCACAGTAAGACATTTACAAGCATGATATATTGCTATAGAAAAAAAACAAACAAAAAAAATGCAATAAAAGCATAAATAATAAACCTAAAACTCAAAAAAATAAAAACTATTCTATTCCACTGACTCCAAAGCAGGATAATCCAAGTTAACCCTTTTGTTAAATGTATAGTATTGAAACGCTGGGGGTGCTATACATGTATATTGGCATAATGTTCAGCAGTTACCATGGAGACATAAAGCACACATTAGTAAACATCGCCAAAGAAGTTCCAGAGCTGAAATGATGCATAGGTAAAGGTGCATGAAGTTTAAAAACAAGGAACCACCTTCAACATCTTTTAAAGCTTTGTTCGTTTTTACCTCAATCCAGAGTATTTTACATGATCATTGCACATGCTTTTAACACTTTTATATCTTTAATCCGCAAATGTTTCACTGTCGCACGTCTCTATTCACTGTTTCATGTTATGACTGACGTGCGAGTGTGTTCTCTTTGTGTTGTTTTATTCTGACTCTTGGCCAGGTTGTCACTGCAAATGACAAAGTGTTCTCAACTGACTTACCTGGTAAAATATTGAATAAGTAAAAAAACAAACAAAAAAACAAAACATAGTTGAGAACACGACATCACAAGGTGGAAGAGAGTGTTTTCTGTTTGAGAGAGGAACTAAATATGCCTAAATACGCAGGGTTTGTGTATTAAACGTGTGTGAGACGAAACAAAACACAACTCCAAGTCTGCAAAACTGCTACCTGGACATACAGAGATTGTGCAAAATTGTCCTTTTGGTGCTCTTCAGTGATAGCCTGATTCATCAGACAGTTTCACTTTGTGGAAACCGTCTGACCTAACAGCATTAGAAGTTGTTCGCTCGACAGTAGGCGGGTACTTTTTTTTATATTTAACCAATTGCTGTTATTTGGTCATGACGTATGTAATGCGCTGCTACCGGGGATAACTGGTATATTAAGCTTTTCCCAAATCCTGTAGAAAGAAGGACAATAACGTCTTTCCCCTTGATAAAATTTATCAAACATTCCCTTTGTTCCAGCTTTAAATTCCTGATCTCAGTAATCGCTGCCAACACAGAATATATGACTCTTCGCTGATTGGCTGGTGCCCGAACTTGCACTTCCAAGGTTCTTGCAAACCATCTAGTGTATTCTCATTCCTGACCTAGTCGCTGGAGAGAAATGAAATTGAGCAGAGGCAGTAGGTGGCGCCAGCCTGGCTACTTCAGTCTCAAATACAAAGTTGAAAAAAAAAAAGTAGAGGCATTCAAAAAGTAGAAAATAATTAAAAGCCTTTAATACCACATGGCAGATAAAGTTAAAATCACGCCAACACATGGGCAAACTCGAGATGGTGATCACAGTGCAGATTTAAAGTCATAGGTGTAGGCTTGCCCACAGTCCACTGGTGCATGATGGGACATGTAGGCTGAACAGATTTTAGTTACAAGCTACTTGAGATCAGATATAATACAAGATACAAGATACATAGAGAAGTACGTAGTATAAAAAATATATAGTGCAAAGAACCTAAAGGTGGTACAGATACAACATGCATAATTTATTAAATATATTAGAGGGCAAGTCTTTAACAGTTTCATGGAGACGAAGATGTTGAAAATAGAAATAGATCACAGATTTAAAGCTTGTGGTTTTAAAGGAAGAGGGAGAAAATCAACTCTCCATTGAGTCCTGGAAACTGGTCGCCTTGAGAGTGTAAATCCAGTAGTTTTTTTTCAGTCTGTCTCCTCCTCTTATTGTTTCTTTAATATGTTCAATTCCAGTTTGTGACGCTGAGGAAACAACATTCTAACACAGATCAGAAAACAGTGCGGAACAAATGAACCTCGCACGTTTCAAGGAGACATCCGCTGACAGACGAGATAAGACTTCATAAAGATGTACAGAGCGTTTTTGTTTGGGCTCGTCCATGAGGGTGTTTGCCTTGACTCAAATCAACCTTTGCACTAATTAAATCTGTATCCCATTCAAACAGCTGTGATAGAGGCGCTTATTTTTGTAACGCGGCGCTGCAGACCGGAGCACCGCGAGCGAGGAGTGTACAAAAGCGCACGCTGTGACTGTGTATGTGTGTGCAGTTTGAGATGTGTAAGCCCCTAATAGTTTAATGCAGCCATATTGATTAGTGCTTTAATGTCAGAGCTAATGAATCGTCCCTTTAATACCATTTGCACATCTATTTACAATGGCATCAGTATGTGGGGCGCAAGAGGGGGGATGCAAGAGCTAATCTGAAATAACAAGGAGGCTGGATGGTTGTAAATTAACTATTTCAGAGATAGAAAACTAAACTAGGGTGTTGGTTTTATCGACCGGGCAATTTGAAGCAGCATTGTACGCGACAGTATCAAAGTGACTGAACATATTACGACGATTTTCTGATCCAAAACCAGTGATTTGTCCTGGTTTTATACAAGAAATGTCCCTATTTTTGACCAATCAGATCCCTGCCAACAGTAAACAGTAATTTGTTTATGTAAAATACAGAAAAGCTTCTTCAAAATGACCAAAACACGAAGAAAAAGTAAATATACTGACTCACATTTGTGCAGAATGTGTAACAATTTTCCTGAATTGCGCATTCGTTTTGCAATTTTATTATTACAAACCACCACAAACCAGGGATGTCCCAGTTTTTTATTAAAAAAATCTGGTCACCCTATGTTGGGGGTGTTCTACATGGATGTACATGGTGGAATGCTTATCAGTTTCAGATACAATGCGATGGTCTGAAAACACAAGAAAAAAATACAAAACCGATTTAGGGCCTGTTCTAGAATGGATCATTTTAAAAGGAGCTTTGTTTCGGCTGCTATCGTACTTATGAATAAATTGTAATCTATTGTGTGTTTTTTAATACATTTAATATATATTGTGACTTTATTTTAGCCAAGCGTGATGGTTGAATTGAACTAATTGTTTATGGAACAAACCATTCTGCACTGGAAAACTGTAACACTTTATTTTGTAATTGTGCTTTTATACGTATTTATTGTACATAATGTGGATGAATGAAATGTGGAATGTGAGACCTGCCTCTCAAATCTGCAAAACAAATTTACCTACGGGTACGAATAAAGCAACCTACCTATCTGTTTACACGAGAAAGCTTGCAGGTAAAAACAACAAAATATTTTATCAGAAGTGCCTTTCGTTTCGACGGTGATGGGGTTTTTGGGGCTTAAAAACACCAAAATCTGAAACCACCCTCCAGAGTGGAAAAGCTGAATATGCTCCGCCGTAGCGTTTCCGTTTACACTGCCCAAGACGCAAAACTCTGATCAGATCCGCTCACGCTGCGTACGCGTTTACGTCACATACATCACCACCTAGAGTCACCACCGAGTCGTCTGGCATGCATACCCGACTGTTAGAAAGGCAGTAGCTTTGTCAGGAGCGCCCTCTAGAGGTGCTGTGAGTTAATGCATGCTTTAGTTCAGAGCGCACGGCACCGCTGTCTTAATTGGTTCACGAGGCTCGGGCGTGCAGACACGTATCGTCAGCTAAAGTTGTGCGTTGTTGACAAAAAGTACGTTTATGGTATTCGGAGTTATATGGACGTTTTATAAGTCCTTTGTTATTGTTTTACGCGTGTCAGGATGTGTTCATGTTCCTATAATACTTCTGTAGTTATGTTCATAAGGGAGTTAGCTTAGCTTAGCTTAGCCGCTAATGCTATTTTGTGTGTCGTGCCATGTATGTGCCTTATAGTTATATTATGTCTTTATTGTGTGCTTTTTATTTAGTCCATCCATGTTTACTTTTTATGTTTGTTATATACTTAGTACACCTTTTACTTTTTACTTTATTACTGTAATCTGTAGTACAGTAACTTAATTTGTTTATTCTTTTTCTTTATAGACCACACATACAACCAATAATGTTCTGCGATGTTGCCTGAGCTTCATTAAACCTCCTAAATACACCATCTGCATCCTGTCTCCTGTGTCCTGACCGGCGCTCCAGGGCCAATATCACAATCCGAGCTAATACCTGTACAGTCCTTAAACCGGAGTGGTAGTACTCTTCAATACCGACCAAATTCCAAACACATTTGCGCCACCGTATGCACGCAGATTTCCTCCCGAAAACGCTTGTCTAAACACAGAATAAAAAGTGAAGACGCAACGCCACTTTTGCATCTTCCGTTCAGCCCGTCATCCTATAAACGAAGCCTTACACAACACTTTTTCTGGAGCTTGTGATGGATACGAGCATTCATGGTCCTGTTAAGGAGTTTGATTTTCAACAAAAAGGTGAGAGTGATGAACTGAAAAACTATTGGCAGCACAAATCAGCTCTCCTGTTGTAGTTCCAACGAAGCTGAATCTTTCTGGTCAGATTGTGCTGAAATAAAGCTCAAGTCTAACAAAGCCTCAGACAGAGCAGTGCCTACAGTTAGCGTCACGAGTATATTAATAATAACAGCAATACTCAAAATAGTTGTTTTGAAGATATGGAAAAAAAAATTGCTGTTCAAATTAAACAAAAATAGTTTGCAAAAAGAAAATGCAGTCTAATTTTCAAGAAGATAAAGCGACATTTCTGCACGTCTGTAGAAAATTCTCTTTTGAAGCTCCTCCAAAACAAATACAAACTTGTTTTAGCAAATTTAAGACTGCGAAAACACAACCCAGTTCTGATTATTTGTGAGAATCAACACAAAAAATGTCAAGATAATGTCAGTATCGCCCTCCCCTGGTGCCTTGTGGTTCCTTCACAGTAAAAGCGTTGGGTTTGAGGCTGCGGTCGTGTTGGGTCGGCTCGCTGAAGAGGAGGAAGAGGAAGAAAAGGAGAAGGAGGAGGAGGGGGTCTGTGCTCTGGGCTGACCTCTTTAATGGAACAGTGTGGAGCTCAAAGAT